GATGGCACACACCTGTTATCCCAGTGGTTTGGAGGTTGAAGCAGGAAGATCAGAGTTCAAAGCCAGCCTCAGCAAAAGCAACTCAGTGAGACCCTGTCTCTAAATAAAATACAAAATAGGGCTGGGGATGTGGCTTAGTGGTGGAGTACCCCTGAGTTCAATTCCTGGTACAAAAAAAAACAAAAAACAAAAAACCCAGTATGTCAATATTGGTGAGTGGCATTTAACTTGGGAATGCATCATATTAAAACAGATTGGTTTTTAAAGAACAGAGATATTTTAAATAGTATATTGAAAGATAAATCATAGCCATCAAATAGTTGGAAAAGCAATTGATGTCACCAAGTAAGACTTACACTTTATTTTTTTTTCTCAAGTCTGTGTATTAGATATGCTTCTGTAAAGTTGATACACACGAAAGTTCCTGCTTGATCTAACCTTCTCTGGGTTGCCTAAAGAGTCTCTTTACTTAAGATTTTATAAGAGCAAGAACATCAGAAATGCAGCTACACCGATATGGAATTGTTTTTTATAGCATTAAAGAAAAGGGAGTTGTGAAAATTCATGGAAGAATTCAATAAGAACAGACCTTGTCTCCCAAAATAGTCATTGATCTCAGCATTTCTTAGACACCGTAGCATGACACAGCACTCAACACATAACATGAAAATACTTTGTGTAGGCTCCATTTTCCCCAGAGGAAATAGGAAGGAATACCTCCACCTACATTTCCCAGACAAGGAAGGGTGATATTGACCACTGGGCAGATTTTTATATTGGGGTTGATCTGAGTTTTTACAATTCAGTATCATCTCATTAGTCAGGGCCAGGGAATTTAAATTCTGAGGGCATGAGACAAACATCAGAAAGGGGACATCAAGTCTTTGTTAACTGCAAAAGAAACACACTCCGATCAGAGAAAAGTCCCTCCCTCCACCTCACCATCTCCCCCAAGTCTTTCCTCATCAGGGACATTCAGGCATTATTGATATATATGTGTCAGCAGCTAATCACAGAGATAATTGATGAGGCCCGGCTCCTGAAATTATCCAGAAAGCCCAATCTTCTGAGCATATTCCAATCTGAAGTTTATCCACAAGGCCCAACCACGTGGGCCAGTCTTCCAAATTTCAGGTTGAATCAGCATCCCTCATCCAAAAAAGCTGAAACTTTCTCAATGATAACATGATGCTCAAAACATTTTGGATTTTGGAGTATTTCATATTGAGGATGTTTAACCAGAAAGTCCATGCCAATATCCTAAAAATCTGGAAAACACCAACGTTTTTCAGATAAAGGCATTTCAAGATAAGGGATTTCAGAGAAGGGACATTTGACCTGCACTATCACATTTGTAAGGGTATACTTTGTTTTCCACAGCACAGGAACCTTCTTGTAGAGCCAGCCCACCACATGGAAAAGGTTCTTAGTTGGGGTTCATGGTTCTCCTCGAGAACCTGGGACACACTTCATGAGTCCATAGTGAATCCCCTAAGAATAAATGTCCACAGTGTATGTATCTTGCACTTGTTGCTGCGTATGTCTATGGGAAGGAAGGGTTAGGAGCAGCTATCAGACTTATCTTTTAATGTTTTTATTAGTACTTTATAATTATATATAATTGTGGGGTTTATTTTGAAATAATCATACATGCATGGGACATAAGTGGCTCCATTTCCATCCCCAGTACTTACCTCTTTTCCTCCCTCTTCCCTCCCCTGTTCTCCCTCCTCAACTCTGCCGGTCTCCCTTCCACTTATTTATTGGTTTTTTAATGGGTGCTTCATAAATAGACATAAAGGTGAAATTCGCTGTGGTGTGTTCATGTATGTGCATAATGCATAATTGCTCATAGATGGACTTAACACATAATTTGGCCAACTTCATTCCACAGTTCCTTCCTTTTCCCATCCCTCCTCCCTCTCCCTCAAATCCTTTCCTCTACTTCACTGATCTCCCTTGTATTCTCCTGGGATCACCCCCACTCCACTTTTCCCCCCTTATTTTGTTCTGGCTTCAGCATGTGAGAGAAAACATTCAACCCTTGACTTTCTGAGCCTGGCTTATTTCACTCAGCATGATGTTCTCAATTCCATTCATTCACAAGCAAATGCTGATTGATTTTTGAGGGCTCAGGCCCATACTGTAATAGTGTGCCATGGAGAAGGCAGATGGCCCCCAAATGTTTTTCTCAGAGACAATTAAAATCATCATAAGCAAACACTTTGACCAGTAATGTCTCTGAAGCATCCCCACCTTCTCTAATTTAGAGAGGATTTTTTTTTAAATAAATATTAATTTTTATTTTGTATTTTTAAAAATCTAGAGGATTTTTGAATTCCTTAAATGTGGAAAAAAATGTCCTGGACACACCAGAGGATTAAACCAAGGGGACCATGTAACATATTTCAATGTACTTCAGTGTTTACATTGACTATGTTCATACGTCTGGGAAGAAAGTAACAAATTCAGAATGACTTCCACACGTCTCTTCTGTACCAATGGTTTTTAACTGGGTGGGGGACAGGATTCTGCTACCCAGGAAATATTTGACAGTTTCTGGAGCTACTTTTGGTGGTCATGAGAGGTGTAGGGGTGCAATTGGCATCCCGTAGATAGACCCAGAGATGCTGCAAAATGTCCTACAGTCTAGACAAAAAGATGTCAATCATGCTGAGGTTGACTCTGGGCTAGACCTTGACTCTTGGCTATGCCACAGCCTTCGAACCAAGCTAATCCACTCCCACTCTGTCCCCAGCAGCCACAAAATTAACTTCTGGTTCACATTCCAATGTGTTCCTTATTTAATTTGACCCCTCTCCCATTGAGCCTGATTTATTCACAGTCTTGTCACCGTGGCTCCAAATCCAACATTGCTCTCCACCCAATTTGGAAAACTCCCTTGCTCCTGGCTGGTTTCTGGACCTCAGGACAAATGGTTTGGGTTGTCTTGTTAAGGCCTAGTTGTTGCCTTTGCTGGCCCCCTCTGGTCATGGAGTCCTAGGCTCTAAGTGCAGCCTCTCTAGTTAGAAAAACTTGACCTTGAGTCCCTTTCCAGTCTGTAGCTTCAAATTCTCATGCAAGATACTTATTTCTCTGAACCACAGTTTCCTCTTTCATAAAATGGAACTCCAGCACCAATGATCCTTCCAAGAAAACCTTATTCTTCTTAGAGGAACAACTATTATTATGTTATCATCTCCTTTCTGGGTTCCTTGGAGCTGATACAAATTCAGCCCTCGTGTTGTGGGGCTTATGTGAGAACCATAAATTCTCAACTGAGGTTGGTCCTTGGTAGTCAACAAAGATGCTTAAAATAAATGAATTAAAAGCTCCACTACTTGAGATTCTAACTTAATCGTTTGGCGCAGGTTAAGATCTCCATAGTAGTAAAGCACTAACTACCCGATCAGGCACACAAACCAAGTGTACCTGCTGCTGTTACCATCTTGACCGTGTCTGCTCCACTCCTGATCCCCCTGAACCCATCTCTCCACCCACCTGCTGCTCAGGACATGGGGTTACGAATGTAACAAACATGAGGAAGTTGCTGAAGGTTTTGTTTTCTTACAGATTTTAAAAACAAAAAATTCCATAGTCATAAACTGAGTCTTAAACCAAGACTTAAAAAGTAAAGCCATAAGATTTTATTCTTAGCTACAGAGTCAGTAAGCAAGGGTCCTTTTCTCTGGGTAACATCCTTCCTTTTTACCTTCACACAAAAGAAACTTTTCTAGGTTATACACTTGCAAAAGAAATAAGGTCTAACAATGACTAGGTTGTTACCTAGAAAACTCAAGCAACAAGCAAATTCCATTTCTAAACAGTTTATCTAACTTAACAAATATTTACTGGACACTGGGTTGCTATTGGAGTTAAAAGTGTACTAAAATAAAAGGTAAATAGAGCTACCTAGAGCATTGCTATTCCAAAAAAGCACGAGCTATAATGTATTGCACCTTTGCCGTGAACCTTGCAAACAGCTTTCTGTGCATTATCTCATCCCACCCCTTTCTTATGAGGGAGGAATTGTTATATTATTTTTTTTATCTTGTTCTCAAGAGATTTAGGTCTTGTACAGATCTGCCCATTTGGCATACACACGCCCTAAGCAAAAGAAATCCTATAGTCCCCTGGCCATTTTCCAGCACATTAAGTTTGTGCTGGGAAAATGTGTAGTTACAAGTGCCTGGTGCATAGTAAACACGGTGTAAGGGATAATAATAATAATAACAATAACCTTCTACAAACATCACCCCATATGAATGTCAGGCCAGTTTTACAGAAAAGAAAATTGAGTCTTGGAGAGTATTAGTGAGTCACCTGAGTCCCCACTGTCAGCAAGGGTCAAAGCTGTCATTGAACTCTGGTTGTCTCTGCTTGCCAAATACCTGATACTTGGGGGAGTTGTTGTGGACAGATTCACCCACAAATAGTTGTGTATCATCCTAGACTTCTACCCTCCTGGGATCCGCTATTGCAGCTGTAGCTGAAAAATTCTTTTCCCCTGTTTCAGTGTCCAGAGTCCTCCTTTTCAAGTTCAACAAGAAGGACTCTCTCATTAGATATTTAAATGCAAGAAGGCACGAGCCCCACAGAGAGTTCTCACTCTCTTGAGTTCAGGAACCCCTCACGTCCTGGTAGGAGGTTTGAGTCCTTTCCAGAAGCCAGTTCACTCAGCTGCCCTGGTGGAGGAGGCTGCTGCTACACCAAATGCACTCCCACACCGCCTGCGGACACGAAGCAGCCAGTGGCCACGGCTATTAACCCGAACTCTAATTAGGGTGGTTTTTATAATGAGGGAAAGAGTGTGATTCTAATTAGTAATTTTCCATCTTTTTCTCCATAAGTATCCTCAAGTCAAAGCAATAGGCTGTCCTCCTCCTCGGGCTGGTTGCACCTACTATAAAACTTCAGCAAAAGTGAAAATGGGGAAGGAAACATGAAGCAGGAGAGAGGTTTTACTGGCTACTGATGAGCTGTGTTCTCCCTTGACTCAGGTCCGAGGCGCTGCGGTCGTTGGTTCGGACATGGTTGTCACTGTTGAGTTCACCAACCCTTTAAAAGAGACGCTTCAAAATGTCTGGATGTACCTGGAAGGTCCTGGAGTCATAAGACCCAAAAGGAAGACGTTCCGGTACGTGCTGGGAGAAAGTGGGAAGGTAGCATGGGGCCGTGGGACACTGTCTCTGTCCCTCTGTGTCTTTTCTGATCACATCTACTCTCTAGTGAAAGTGTCTAAGATGCAACTCCTTATGGATCCGGTCTGTGGGGCATGGGGTAAAAACAGGGTTGGTTTGACCATCACGTCCATCATTGAATCCTTAAAGCCACCCCAGAAGGGAGATACAATTACCAACTCTCTTCTTTTGTTGGGGAATTTGGAGCTTCAACAGGTCAGTGGGCTGCCTCCATGACACACAGCTTATAAGCAGAGAGCTGAATTTCAAATTCAAGGTGGCTGATTGCAGAACTCATTCCCGTCATTTTGCCATACCACCTCCTCATGTGTCATCCACTAATCTTCACTGAGCACCTGCATATGCCAAGTGGGACACTGAAAGATGCCCTTTCTATGGGTCCTTTCTTTCCAACTCCACCTCTTAGATTTAGCAACCCAATCACTGTGGTTCCATTGGGGCCAAAAGGCTGCCCCAGGCTCTGTAATAATATAAATGGAACTCAGCCTCTTCCACATCCAGCACCATCAAACTGTGCCCTGCTGGTTTGCTTCTGTGGCACCTATTGACTGTGACTGTCACCCAACAGGACAGCCCATTCCACAGTCAGGTAGCTCAGAAAACACACCTTTTCTACCTTGAGATCCTACCAATGACAATTTTGTTATCTGGCCTAACACAAAATAAGGTCCACGACTCTTCCATCTGATGACTTGGAAATGTTCGCAAGCAGGTGTCTCGTCTTCCTTGAGTCTTCTCTACTTGAGACCAAATACCCACCCCGACTTCATCTTTCTGGCCACTAATGTGGTTTTAGCTCCCTCCCTCTCCCACACTGTGCAATTTGTCTGTGCTTCTCTTAAATTGTGACACTCAGAATGGGTCCCAATCTTCGAAGTTTATTACTTTCATTTCTACCACAAATAAGTCCCTGTCAGCATCAATCAATCTAGCACATTTCCTACGGGGTGACCTTCTAAGGCAAAGAAAGGGAAGTGAGAGTTTTGGAAACCACCTCATGACCATCTATGTTAGGAGTTTTCCCAACACCTCTTACGGAAGCCACCCCACTCTGTAAGCTGCAAGGCCTCACTCATCCTTTCTGGGACACCGCCATTGCCCACAAAAGACTCTCTCTGCATTTCTTTTCGAATTACAGGTCCCACAGTTTTTGCATCCTATCTTAAGAGATGCCTTATTACCAATGCAGTACACAACACAGAAAATAATTCGAGTGCTTTTTTAAAATGGCAAGCACAAGATATAACATCCTGCCTGTATTAATAGGACATTCTCAGGGAAAAAAAAAGAATTAAATTAGAAATCAACCCCAGCGAGAGGGAGAGGTCAGCAGCCATAGCCCTGCTTTCGTCAGAAACGACAGTCTTGCTCACCCATTCTCGCACCTTCCCACTCAAATCAGATGCAAGAATCGCTCAGGCAAAGTGAAACACGTTTCCTCTTCCAAACAGCCCCCTGCTGTATCCAATTTTTCCTTCTCAAACAATAGCCACGCAATCTGTATCTGAGGGCACTGGAAACTTCTGCTAGCTTCACACCTTGGCTGTCCCAAGAATCTTGCGTTGCTCAAGGTGAACACATCTATGCTATGGTTTACCTGGGTGTTGCTCAAAGGTGCAGATGTAAAAGTGTGGTCCCCAGGGTGGCAGTGTTGGGCAACTCTGGGGACCTTGAAGACATGGAGCCTCATGTGTGGCCCAAGATGGTTTAACGCTCCACGCTTCCCACAGCCTCCCTCCCATCTCAGATGCTGGGAGGTTCCATTTCTGTAGATTCTTTGCTTTTAAGTTTCTGCACTTCCAGACCACCCAATAATTCATCCGCCAGATTCATTTTTCTCTTTTAAAAAATGATCAGGTTCAGTGAGTTATTCCAAGAGAAAACTTTCCCAATTTTGTGACTTGAATTTAAGCTTTGTTTCCCAAGTAGGACAAAAGCTAAGCCTCCGCACACAGAGGACAAACCGTGGGTAGCTGCAGTTTGTTGTTATAATAATCCCATTTGCTTGTGTGCATTCAAGATGATAAATGGCCAGAGTATCCTGATAGCTCAGCACATTACTGAGAATCATTTATCACAACATCCATCCCCCGGAAATGAGATTATTCCAACATTACTCCACTTACCAAAATGAGCAAATGATTTTTTCTCACTTTCTGTTATGCACTTATCTGTAGGTAAAATGACATGCATGTGCACCTTAACGTTGGAATATTTTCATATGCACCCATCGTTATGCAGATCGTTATATGACCAAGAGCAAATAATGAGGTGAAGCTCAAGATCTAGTGACTATTTGAGGTGGTTACCTACATTGCACGGTCCCAGGTCAGATCCTTAAGCAGGACAGTTGTTTCAAAAGATGCTTCTGATTGATCACGTGAGAAACCAGGGTCAAGAGAACCTATGGATCTGGGTAAAAATAGCTTCTGTTGACAAATACATATCTTTAATTCATATTGAATTGATCACTGTAAATTAAGGACAGAGAATTGCTTTTCTGTATACAGACTCAAAGAGCTTTCGTAAATTGTTCTGCAGAGAGTTCAGGCAAAGCAAACAATAACCACAAAGGTAGAGGTGATAGGAATAATAACCGTAATACATTTCTGACATTTCTTGATGCTGACCGTGTCTTGCCACAATTCCAAGTGCAGTACAAATATTAACTCACCTACCCTCTCTCGCTCTGTTCAGGGTCCAATGGTGTCCACCTTTTATAGGGGAGGAAAACAATGTCGAGGTCAATGTTTTTCAAACCTTGAATCATAAAATCAACTTACTGGGTTTGAAAAAGTACATAGGTTATGTATATATGCATTATTCCCATCATTTGTTTTTTTAAGTCACTGATTAAAATAAAGTATGGAGCCACACTTATAAAGAACCAAACTTAAGGAAAGCATTAACAAATATTAAATTAATATAGACATTTTAGATGATCAGTGTCAAAGTCAATGCCTGGAGCCGCACCATAGAGAGAGCTCCCGAGGGCTCAGATGCCTTCTCCAATTCACAGGAAAAGAGGTGAGAGAAAACAGGATTTCTTACATAGTGCCTGGATTTCTGAGATGTCAGGCCTTTAGCCTTTTGACCCCAGAGGATGTGAACCCAGAGTCAGCTGAAATACACGTTGTTTTATTGATGTTAGAGGAAATCTTGGCATTCTAACTTTGCACAGAAGAGGTCAGGTCTGTAGGTACGTGGCCCTCTGTTTCTCCCTTCCCTTTATCTCTGTGAAGTGACAGTGTCTGGTCCCAGGCCCCTGAGGGCAAATGGAAGCCCATCTGATTGAGGTCCTTGGGCCACACCGACTTTCCTCACAGTTCTCTTTCCCACTGACCCCCACCCGCAGCCTCCCAGTGCAAAGCTGAGCACTGCCCCCAGCTCCTTTGTCTGCCCTGCAGGTCCCTCCAGGAGGGAGGGTCTTACTCCAGCTTATCAGCCTTCTCCCCAGGGGGTTCTGTGGATCTAGCCAGAGAATTCCTTTTCTGAGTACAAGCACTCTCTTAGGTGCCCCGACAGGTCTCTGTTCCTGAGAGATGCCCCATGGTCCTTTTCTGACCCCAGTTCTTCCCACGGTCCCAGGTCCCTTCATCAGCTCCCAGGTCCTGAGTGCAGAGGTGAATGCTGAGATTCTTGTCTGACTCGGCCATTTAGCTGTTGGCAATCTTGGAGAAGCCACTCGTTGTCTTTGAAGTGGACTCCTCCTTACCTATAAACTGGGGGATAAGAATGCCTTCTTTGTTGGGTGGATAAAAACATGCAGCCCAGGGGCTGCAGCTGTGGCTCAGTGGTAGCTCATTTGCCTAGCATGAGTGAGGCACTGGCCCCGATTCTCAGCACCCCATGTAAATAAATAAAAAAATAAAGGTCTATCAACAACTAAAAAAAGAAAGAAAAGAAATGCAGCTCAGTTTCCTCGTCCTGTTAATTCCATTTTTCTCCTGAATCCTCATCCCCTACCTTCCCATTCTTCTGAATCGAGGCCTTCAGATAGAGTAACCTTGGTCCCCTGTGTGCTCAGAAAAGTATTCATTTAGACTCATCCCTCCCTGCCTGGTGCAGACCCCAGCCATCTTCCAGGTCCATGCACCACTGGGAAAGAGCAACTAAACCACCACTAACTACCAACTAAACCACCTCGACTAACTACCGACTAAACCAGCTATAGATGACCAAGTTCCTTTCAGTTTCTCTTCAGCCCAAATGTCCAAGACCCAAGGATTGTCCTTGCCTGAATGTTGCCATGACCTAATGATTTGATAAAATGTCCTCACATAGATAATTTATCTAGTGAGGACTATAGATGGAGGAGCAGTTCTGTCACTCTCTCGTTATCTTGTAAACAAAGATGTTGGTATAACTGAAATGACAGCAACAAACATTTTATGAATTTTTAAAATACTTCTGACTATTTCACTACATACTAGATCCTGTCCTGGCCTCTCTGCTTGGATGATTTCCTTTAATTCTCACATGGGTGCTGTGGGATAATCCACATCCTCATTTTGCAGATGAGGAAACTGAGGCTTAGGGAAGGTCCATCAATTCCCCCATGTTTTTACACCTAATAAGCAGGAGTATCAGAGTTAAGCCTGGGTATCCTGAATCCAGAGTCTATGGAGCTTGTAACCACTAGAAAATATTTCATCATACAGACACCAGGCATTACACATTAGTTCAATAGCATGTGGGTTTTTTTCAAAATAGATAGATCCATTCAAATTTGCTTTTTCTCTCTGTGGTCTCATCTATCAGGCAGCTATCCCCACGGCATGGGCCCCATGCATAATCGTGTTCATTATGGAACCGTACCATGGACAGAAATTATTTTTCCTCCCAAACTCCATTTTCAAAACTTCTAAGCTCAAAACTGCTAAGTATTTTCAGAAGCGTTAGGTCTCCAAACCCACAGGAATTCAAATTCAGAATGTATCATTTCCAGTGACCACAAAGGAACTTTGAGAATCAGTAGGTCGACGTTGAATGAGTCCTATCTGGAGTGAGTTCCACCTTTCGTGGAGGCCCGGAGAAGCCGGACTGTTCTGTGTCATTTCCAGGTGGAAGCAGCTGGTTGTTTTGCTTTGGGGCAGACCTTTTTAGCAGCCTTCATTTTGCTTGCTGATATTCAGACTTTTGTGAAATTCAAAACAGTCAAAACTCCATTTAGCAGGAATGTAGAAAGAATAGACAGTTGACTATAATTTCAGCTCTTCCATTATCTGGACCATTAGACTCTGTGACCTTGGAAATTCTCTTATCTGTAAAATGACACAGTTGGACTAAGTCATTTCTAAAGCCCTTGCCCACTCTAACATGCTTGCCTCAATAAACCCATGAAAGAGGTTCCTTTTTATCTTTCCAAGATGCTCATAATGGTCTTGATTCATCTCCCTTCCACTCCCCCAGAATAAAGCTGACTCAGGTTCCAGGCCAGGTCATCCAGCACTTGCCCTCCCTGAGAGTCAGTAAGCATAGACCAGGAACCCTCCATGCACAACACTTGCAGGAAGTCTTAAATATTGAACGAAAGCATAAGTCTTGCTAGAAAAATAAAACCTGTGAAAAAAGTAAGCACAGTGGTCAGAAAAGGAGTCGAATGTAAAATACAGTGTAAAATACAATATACAGTCATAGAAAGAGCAGGCACTCAGAAACACCTGGGGTCAAATCCTGTCTCCACCCATAGACCATGTGATCTTGGAAAACTGACTTCACTCTTTGATTATCTATATGTCAAAGCATTCTGTCTACTTTGAGGCACTGTCACACATACAAAACCTGCATATTGTTTCCTCCCAGGGTTACAGAGGAGAATGTGTGAGAAGGATCCCAGGAAAATCTATATCTCCCCAACCCTGATGGACCTCAGTCACCCACTAAAGTAGGCTTGTCCTCAAGACTTGAGGAGATTGTAGAACATGCACTGAAGAAGAAAAGAGAACTTTAGGACCATAAAAGACTACCCTAAAGTTACCAGGATAGACATTGGCAAGTAACAGAAAGCTGAATTGGTAGAGGGAATACAATATGGTGGTTGAGAGGATTAGCAATTAGCATAGAGACACTCAAAGTCAGATGGCAGCAAACAGGATCATAGTCCAGATGTTCAGCCTGGAAACTAGGTCTCTCCCCTGGGGGTTGGCAAGAGCTAATTAGAGGGTCAGAGCCTCAGCAATGGCAGTTGAGGATTCAGATGGCAGTCTAATCCCAGGAAGAAACTAGAGTTGGTTGGTTCATTGTTGGTTGGTCTTCCCAACCCTATTGTGAAGCAGAGTATGTACACAGGTGGAAGGAACCATCCCCAATGGGGCTGTTGGTGAATGGCTCTGCAAAGCCTCAGTAGGGACCTCATTTGGGTTCCTATGTACTAAATCAGCCAGCCAAGTCCTTCAGTCCTCTAGCCACCATCAGCTGAGAGAAGGAGGTCAGGTGGTTCAGGTAAGGATTGTCTGCTTCTTGATCAGGTGGGAAACTGAATCCACCAACCTCTCATCTCTTCTCCATCCTTTCAGTGAAATCCGGCCCAACGCCACTGTACAGTGGGAAGAAGTGTGTCAGCCTTGGGTTCCTGGCCGTCGGAAGTTGATAGCCAGCCTGACCAGTGACTCCCTGAGACACGTGTATGGGGAGCTGGACCTGCAGATTCAAAGACGACCTTCCATGTAAACGCACAGGAGGCTGAGATGGACCCAGGCTTGGCTTCTTGTAGGGTTGGCTAAGGATATTCTAATGCAAAAATAGCTCTTGCTTTAACTTAGGTGTGAAGTCTCAGACAGGACTAGAGGGAGCCTGAGAGTGGGGACGCTATATACAGCAAAGACACTCTTTTCCAAACCTAAGCTATCCAGCATGAAAGTTAGTTTTGAATCACTCTACCTTCCAGAGGATTCTGAGCATTAGCTTTAATTAAGCTCTAATTAAGCTCTCATAGTGCATAAGAGCAAAAGTTATCATTTATCATCACAAATGGCTACGCCAAATATCAGAGGGCTTCACTTAATGGGGAGATTTGCTCAATACCTGCCCTCATTTAAAACTTCTGATTTCTCACTCAGCCTTCTGGGGGCAACGTACTCCCCCAAAGGGAGAGAAACACATGACCCAGCTCTTAGAATTCTCTTCCCCTTTCCTGGAATCAGGTTCTACCCTCCGTGTTAGAATCCTTTTCCCAGGAATCTGAACACAGCATCATTTTTCTTCTTGGCAAAGCCAGGAAAAGGTCTTTCATCTTGCACCTGCAGCCAAGAGAATGCCTGCCAAATTTCACAGATTTACCTTGTGAGAAGATGTGGCCCCACATTAACAAATTGCATTTGTGCGAAACTTAATCACCTAGGAGGAGATAAGAAAGCAGGTGCAATGCTCTGATCTATTGAATAATGTAGTTTTATGGTGCGTTTTAATAGGTGTCACACTGTGGCCTGATCAGTGGGAACCAATATCCCTTACTTTAACCTTTCTGGGGTATATAACTAGAAAGTAATGAGGCTGGTTTGGGACTGGAGGAATAAGGATAATTCTCCTTAATTAGTGATTATAGTTCACCTGTCTCCCTGGGATCATCTCCTTCACACAATGACACAGGTTCAGGTCTTTTGTCAGAGATAGAATGAGCCCAGCAAGTTGGAGAAACTGGTAGATTGAATGACTAGACACGTAGAAGAACAGGCAGCCACTGAGTCTCTCTTTCCTTCATATTGCCTATGTTGAGATCTCACCTCAACACCCAGGTGCTGAAAGGTAACAGGAGCACAGCTCTGCAAACACCCAGTTCCAGTTCTGGCCCAGTGACAGGATGCCAACATCATTTGTATTCTGCACCAAGGCTCCAACAGACAAGTTTACTGGTATTTATTTACAAGGCAGATTTATGGTCAGAATTTCCCATTGAAGTGCTTCGGGTATGATTTAGGTGAGTAGATTGTCATTTTTAGAAAAAAAAATACATAGAAAGTCAGAATGGCATGCTACATTCTATTAAACTACATTTCTCAGCCTTTGAAACTGATTTTGAACCTTCAGTGCTAAGTCATGAGGGTTACTGGGTTCCCCTCTATAAGTATATCATACATAACTCCATTAAGTCATCTCCCAGCATTTTCCAAGCCTTTCAGTACCCAATTTTTTAAATGAAATGCATTTTGCTAGACTGTTAAACTGGCTTAACTTCGTATATTGTTATTAATGCAAATGTAATAGATGCTTAAAATAAAGCTAATCTGATTATATTTGCAATTGCATGGAAGTGAATGTTGTTAATTTTTACTCCGACGTATAACTAGCCACAACTGCTTGAGAAACCATTCTGTCTCTGCAGTGGACAACCCACCCCTGGATAAGACAACAAACACTTGTCCTTTGGAGAAAATGACTCTAGAAGATACAGACGTCAAAGTTAGCTTTTCTCTCCTCCTTACTAGCCACATTCACTGAAGGAGGACGTTTGCATATTCAATTTAAAAACTAGCTTCCAAAAGCTGAAAATGCTCCATAACTATTTTCCCATGAACAATCTCATGAACAACGATGATGAATTAATATATGGTCAGCATGGAGATCCATCAAAAAGAACACCTGCTATGGTCTTAGGATGGAAGACACATGGCCAGTGTGTATAAGACATCCCACACTCATGCCAAAACTGGTTGAAGAATTGCACCTCAGATGGAGCCTCATACTTCTTCCCAAGATGAAATCTGCTGGTCATGTCTACCTTCAACCAGCCCACCCCCGTTGGCCGGTGGGACTCCACGTTGTGTAACAATGCTGCTATAGTTTGAATCTTGGGTGTCCCCCAAAGAGCCATGTGTTAAAGCCTTGGTCTCCAGCATGACACCCCTAGGAGATGGTGTGGTCTCCAAGAAGGGGAACCTACTGGCAGGACTTCACGTATGGGAGTGTGCCCTTGAAAGAGAGAGTGGGACCCCAGCCCCTTCCTCTTTGTTTCTTCCACTTCCTGACCTTAAGGTTGACAGCTTGGCTCTGCCACACACCCTGCCCTGATGCGCTGCCTCTTCCCAGGCCCAAAAGCAATGGTGCCAATCAGCCATGGTCTGAAACCTCCAAGAAGCAAGCCAAGCTAAATCTTTCTCTCTAAGTTGGTTATGTCAGGTATTTTTCATAGTAATGAAAAGCTGACGAACATGGGTTTAAAAATTATATTTTAGGGCTGGGGATGTGGCTCAAGCGGTAATGCGCTCGCCTGGCATGCGAGGGGCGCTGGGTTCGATCCTCAGCACCACATAAAAATAAAATAAAGATGTTGTGTCCACCAAAAACTGAAAAATAAATATTAAAAAAATTCTGTCTCTCTCTCTCTCTCTTCTCTCTCTCTTTAAAAAAAATCATTTTAGCTATGATAGCAAGCAATGCACGTCAGAAACAGACACTGTGAATTTTAGTTTCCACTTGTGTTAGTCCTTGATGCTTTTGAACAATTCCTTATTTGTGTTTTGAGCTTCAAGGCAAAAGAGGGGTAACAATATTTATGTTTCCACAAGGTTTTTCTGGGATTTATAGCACACAAACCTTAACAACAACACACACAAAGCAGATAGATAAGGTAGATGATAGATAGACAGATGTTACGTGTATTTTTTCAAATAATTTCACCTCATCAATCTTATAAAAGAAGTAACTATAGCTATTTCCAATCTACTAATGAAGAACCTTGATTTGTACTATGGCGAATCAAGCTGGGGGGCAGAGTGAGAACTGAGAACAAAGTCTGCTTTCAGATAAGCATTTTCTGTACACTCTAATCTCAGAATTTCTAAAATGCTGACTTAAGACCAACTTCAAGGGTCTCTGAAGAGCTGCAGAATAACAAATAAAAGTATCTATAAATTTGTAATAGGAATGTGGGGCAACATGGAGTTTGTGGTAGACTCATTGGCAATCAAAAATCACTGAATTCCACATGGAAGGTCACCATGTATGAATATCCATCCACGTGATTATGAAGTTAATAATCAATCAACCCAACCATACAGCCATGTTCAGTTACCACCCTCAGCCAACCATCCAGCCTTCCAACTCTCTATCCATCCTTTTCTCCAATCACCTATCTATGTATCCATCAAGCGTCCTTCTAAAGCCAAGGGATTCCAAGATGAAAAACCCATGCTTCCTGCCAGAAAGAGTTCAGAAGTCAGGAGAGAATCAAGATAGAGAAACAGATAACGTACAACAGGGTAGGTAGGATAATAAGGTGTGCCTAGAATGCCATAGGAACAGAGAGAAAAAGGTCCCTGGAGAAGGTTACCCCCATGTCTCCAGGAGCAAAAAATGAAATTTATTAGACCATGAACAAAGAATAGGAAATAAGTTAGAGACTGATAGAGAGGATGCCATATAACAAGCTAGTGGGAGGAGTACACGTGGCCCCAATCAGCTTGGTGTGACAAGATGGGGAGTATCCAGCGAGCAGAGGCAGGATCAGGAACAAAGGCATCGGTCAGCGTTGGAGCGCCTCCTAGAATGAACGGAGCTAAGAGAGGCTGTTAGCAACTAAATGGATATAGAACTAAAAATCGTGGGTAGCTCAAGGAGGAACAAGGCAAGAGAGTATGGCGTGGAAGACCTAACTCTCAGGTAAGTGCCAATGGTATGAGATGGGAGTTGTGGCCATGGTTGAGTTCAGGAATGGGAAATGAGACCAACCAAGGCACAAATGAATGAAATGAGAGAGATAGCCCATGGAAATCCATCCATGCCAAACACTGATAAGAGGGTGTGACACACAAGCTCCTAGAAGCTCAAATCTGGGCAGCCAAGTAATCACCAGGGACAGGACCATTGCACACCCAGGATCTTGCCTCTGGGGTCATGGTCAGTTCTGCTCCAAGCAAAGGTCTCTGAATCAGTACCCAAGAGAACCCACTGCCTCCAGAGACAAGTCTGTTCTGTTCTCAGCACACAAACTCATTCACAGTTTTACCTTCCTAAGCACCTACTTTCTAGAACAAAAACAAACCAAAAAAAGAAGCTTTTTGGTGCATCTGTTAGAAATCACTTTATAAGAACAAATAAATTTTTTAAAAGGCACCTCAGTTGCATCAGGAAAAGGAACAAGGAAATGGTGTTCACCTCACTTGCCAAGAATTACACTAAGCATTTTCTGTCTCTCAAGACAGTGGACATTTTTAGAAAATACCCAGTAAATTTTCTGCTGATATAATTTATGAGCTCCCATAAATCTTCACACTAATTGTTGTTCTAGAACTTTAGTAATTATCTAAGCAATTAGATAATTGGGGTTTCCTCAACCCCAAAACTAACATAAGGTGTCCTAATGAGTATTTCCTGTAAGTGAAACACATGTGCCTGAAACAGGACTCTTCTCTCTGGTTTGAGCAAGTTTAAACAGTAGGAAAGTAGAGCATGAAAATTAAAACTACAATCAGACTTACAATTTGTTATCTCAACCAGCAAATTATAAATGACCATAAAATTATTGATACTCTTCCCACCCAGAGGTAAGGTCCATATTCCCTTTCCTCCCTTGAGTCTAAGCAGCCCTGTGACTGCTTTGACCAATGGAAAATATGTCCTCACCTGGGGAAAAGGGAAGCTTCTACTTCTTGTCTCTTGAAATCCTCTCCATAGAAGTCCTGAGCTTCTGTGCAAAAGCTTAGCTACTCTGAGACAGCCTTTCTGGAAAAACCACACATAGACACTCCAATCGCTGTAGCCGAATTCAGCCTTCTAGCTGCTATTCTCAAGGCAAAAGACTAAGTGACGACTTTGGGGGCGCTCTGGGCCAGCCCACCCACCAGCTGCAGACCACTAAGTGACCTCATTCAATGACACGGAGAGCAGAAGAATCATCCTGCCAAGATCTGCCTAAGTTCCTGTCCCATCATGTTCTGTAAAATAATAAAACTTAGTCACTGGGTTTGGGGCAATTTGTAATGTTGTACAATATCATCAAGATACTTCGCCTAACAAGCTCAAGGAAAAGAGTAATTCACAGATTAATGCTATTCTTTGCTTTAAATAAACAGTGGTTTTGAGCATTGTCTTTTCTTTCTGGAGAGAGAGGAAAAAAAACTATATATTCATTTTTGGTTTTTCCTCAGCCGTCTCCACATATTTCAGGAGACCTAACTGGTTCTCCCAACTGAACTGGTATAAATATTGCCAGTTCCTTTAAGTTTTCCTGTTACACTGTGGTTTTCTGGCCCTTTCACTATCCTCATGTCCATCAGAATTTGGATGCTTCAGGGACAACTTGAAGATGAGGGAGGGGCACAGTGATGAAGGAAGACAGTCCTCTTTCACAAAAACTTAGGAGATATGCCTCCCCACTGAGAACCTCAAAGAGATGCTAAGTCATCAATTACCCCCATAAACACAAATTCTTTGAGAGGTGAAGTTCTTAAGAATGGCCAAATGGCCTGGTCATAAACCCATTATATATATTTTTTCTCTTTGGACATTCAAAAATACCCTGACATATACACAGGTTATACCAGCCCAGCTCTACCTATATAAAACAAAATAGAATAAAATCTTTTTTTTTTTTTGGAGGTGGGTACCAGGGATTGACCCCCAGGGGCATTCAATCACTGAGCCACATCTTCAGCCATTTCCATATCTTATTTAGAGACAGGGTCTCACTTAGTTGCTTAGGGCCTCGCTAAGTTGCTGAGACTGGCTTTGAACTTGAAATCCTCCTGCCTCAGCCTCCCAAGCCTCTAGGATTATAGGTGTACACCCCTGAGCCCAAGAAAATCATTTATTTGTATTTAGGTTATACAAGATGATTATCCCTTATCTAAAATGCTTGGAACTTCTGTACAAGTGTTTCAAATTCCAGATTGTTTTTTCAGATTTTGGGTTATTTCCATAATCATAATGAGATCTCTTAGGGATAGGACCCAAATCTAAACATGAAATTCACTTATATTTCATGTACCCCTTATACACATGGTCTGGAGGTAATTTTATGCAATATTTTAAACAATTTCGTGCATCAAACAGAGTGGCTTTGTTTGTTTGGTTTGGTTTTTGCTGCTGGGAATCAAATCCAGGGCTTTGTGCATGCAGAGCACATACTCTATTGACCTACATCCCCAGCCCCATGAAGCAAAGTTTCATGAGGTAGAATTTTTCACTTGTAGCGCCATGTTGGCAAACCGCTTCAGATTTGGGAGCATTTAAGATTTTGAGTTTTTGGCTTAGAGATGTTCAACCCTAAATTTACAGCCATTGAATAAGGAAGGTCAATGAGGGCTTG